GTCTGAGTCTACTTTCTCCCCTTGATCACTACATTTCATACTGTAGATGAAAAACAGTCATCAGCATTAAGCCTGAGAGATGAGGTCTCATTTAAGCTAACCATTTTAAACTTTGGAAAAATATTTAAAAAAAAAATTTTTCCCCCTATAAAAGTACAACTCAAAATTTTTTACCTTCCAGTTTGCCAGGCTGGGCTATATCCAGAGCCTTTGGTAAGTGTTAATAAGGAAGTTACTCAGTAAAATAATATGTCATAAAGCATAAAACATGCTATGTAGTGGAAAATGCACATTTTAGCCAGGGCTTGGCATACATCAAACTTTAAATATGCAGAATAAAATGACTGATAATATTATCCTCAAAGAGTAGAAAGTTTGGTTTAACCTTCAAATCAAACTGCAGATCACAGGAAACCAGAATTAGGATTTAGGAATAGTAGCTTCTGTCACTTATTTGTTCTAAATTTAAGCAAAGCACAAACCTTAAGAGTATAAACTAGAATATGCTGTAAGGTATATATTTAATTGAAAAAAATTAATAACCTACTTTCAGGAGTGTATATGTTGAATAAATAATCATCTTTATCTTCATTCCTGCATAATTAAATATCTATCTCAGATTGTTAATAGGATAGAATGAGACTGTCCAACAGATAAAATGTTATTTTGAAAACTTGAAAGTTTCAAATAAACACACAAAGGTAGTATTAAAATTCAAAGATGAAAAAAAGAAAAAAATAAGATGGTAAATAAAAACATAAAAGAGGACTATCCTAAAATTAGGAGTTTTCCCTAACCAACTTTATTAGAGAGCAAATAAAAATATGCATCCGCTTCATTTGCTTTGGGGAAATATTTTTAAATAACAAACTTCAGCGTCTCTCTCAGCTGCAATCTATAAATTTAGCCCCACATGTTCTCCAAAAGTTATTAATGGAAAGCTTCCTCTTAGCAAAAAATACTAAAACATACAAAGAATGCAAACCACCAACTTGTTTCCTCATCTTCAGCCAACAACTAAAAGAAAAAAAATCAAAAACAAAAACACATGGTCCCTACAGTCAATCTCTGGTCCTTTGCTTAAGTCCCAGACAAAGGAGATTCTTTTCTCTTTTCCAAATCTTCCCATCTGTCTATGTCTGGACCTTATCAAGTCATCTAGGATCAAATTAATAATTTGGTTTCTAATAACTTCACTGTTTGCCATTCTGTAACCCCTTCCTTCAGCCATCAACTGGGTCTCTGTCAGCTTTAAAATAAGCAAAAAGTCATCCTTTATCCTCTCTGTCCATTTCCTCCTTTGGTTTCACTGTCCCAACTCCTTGAACTTAGTCAACATCCACTGCCTCTCTACTTTCCCTCTCATATATTCACTTAAGCTTCAACCCCTCAAAATTTCTCAAGATTCAGTGCTACTTGCTTATTAAATTGTACTGGGGTTTGGGGTGCCTGGCTGGTTCACTTAGTAGAGTATGCAACTCTTGATCTTGGGGTCGTGAGTTCAAGCTCAGTGTTAAGTGTGGAGCCTACTTTAAAACAACCACCACCACCACCACCTACTGTGGTTCCCATCTTGGTGACTTGTCACTTATAATCTTTCACGTGAAAAGCTTTACGCTCTTTGATTCTGTTATACAAAACTTGGCTATGTTCCCATTTCTGCTATATGTTTTACTTACTGGCCACTCTTTTTGTAGGTCCCCTTAAAACAAAGTAGTTTTCTACCATTTTTAGAAAGCTCCAATCCCTTGACTTTAAACTCACTGCCATCACGCATTTAAGAGCCAGGAAATACAGAAAATACTGAGTTCTATGACTCAAAAACACTATTCTTGAAAATTTATTCTAAGGAATAATTTAAAATTGAGAACATGATTAGATCATGACACGGTTAGAACAAACACTGACACTCAACTCTCTATACCAAAAGACAGCTTCCAGGACCTTTATCTTTTAAGCATTACGACTAATGAAGATTTTGTAAGATTCTTTTTAAGCCACAAACTCAATGGATCTTAGTTGGACAGATATTTCCTTTTTATAGATTTAATCCCAAAAGAAGACGCAACCAATGATTTGTAACTTACTGGGATAACTATTAGAACATTCATGTAACAAGTACATATATTTTTAAAGGTGTACTGCATTCTTTCTTATTGCAAGAGAATAATTGCAATAAGAAATTACTGTTCTGAGTAAAATCTAGTTTTGTAATGGAACTCATCTTGGACAGAAACAACTGGTAATATGGACAATTTCTTTGAGAACATATCAGTTCTGTCTGTTAAGTAGAGTTATCTGAAAAGTATGAACCTAGCCAAGTTAAGTTACCTCAACTTTGGGCCCATTTTTTCATTAAAAAAAATGTCAGACTAAATGATCTCTAAATTTCCTTTTAATTAAAAAATACCAGAAGGCAATCTACTTGTTTTCACAAGTTAGAATTATAGGCAGCTTCCTCTAGACATTGTTCAGTCTGATTCAATCGTATTCACCTGCGATTAGTTTTCTGTAGTTTTACAAGTAATGCATATATTCTCATTAAAGTTTTAAACACTTCTGTACATTACCTGGTAAATCCTATATATTATAATATGTTCATCTAATGTGAACATAGTGTTATTTCTGTATATCCAGATCTCTACATAACTACAATGGTTTAAAGCATGTTCCAAAAAACTAAATACAGCAGTGCCCCCTTATCTGAGAGGGACATACTACAAGGCCCCTTGCAGATGTCTGAAACCATGGAGAGTGTCAAACCCTAATAAAACTGTGTTTGTTTTTTCCTATACATACATACATATGTTAAAGTTTAATTTACAGACTAGGCACAATAAGACATTAACAATAACTAATAATAAAATATAACAACTATAACAATCTACTACAGTAAGTTATGTGAATGTAGTCTCTCTCAAAATATCTTTTTATACTGAAGACATCCTTCCTTGTGATGATGTGAGATGTTAAAATGCCTATGCAATGAGACAAAGTGAGACAAATGTTGCTGGCACTGTGACCTAGCATTAGGGTATTATTACTGACCTTCTGACCTATTCTCAAAGGATATGTCAAAAGGAGGACTGTCCGCTTCTGGTCCACAGAAGCAAAAATGCAAATAAAGAGAAGGCTACTATACAAAGAACTGTTTTTAGTACAACGTTTTTAGTTAACCAAATGAACAAATCACTACCATGAAACCAAACATAATTCATAATTCATATAATCATTACCTTGTATCTTGTCTAAAGCAAGCAATTTTCCATTTTTAATTAAAAACAGTATGGGGAGGGCAGCTGGGTGGCTCAGTTGGTTAAGAGTTCAACTTTGGCTCAGATCATAATCTCACTGTTTATGGGTTCAAGCTCTGTGCTGGGCTCTGTGCTGACAGCTCGGAGCCTGGAGCCTGCTTCAGATTGTGTCTCCCTCTCTCTCTACCTCTCCCCCACTTGTGCTCTGTGTCTGTCTCTCAAAAATAAATAAACATTAAAAAAAAAGTATTGGGGGAAAAGCTACTCAGTATAAACAATTTTCCTTCTTCCCCTTGTTACCTTTTACCCATTTAAACGCCCACAAAATATGATGCCTTTCTCAGCACTATTTATAAAGATTACCATCAGCAAAAATAAAATCATAAAGTGAACTACTAACCTTAAGATTCCAGGTTAGTTACTTTGTCAAACCCAAATATCCATTTAATGAAAAGATAGTTTGTGCAACTTTTTTATTATATTGAAGATAAACAGTTGTTTTCTTCCTCAGCATGCTCAGTTATGCTATCCCATGATTTTAGGGATTTACTCCATCAATACCTTCTCTTGACACAGCAGAAACCTCTATAAGATTAGAATAACTTTAGCAAATAAGAAAATAAGAATCAAAAAAAAAGAAAGAAAGAAAAACAGAATCACATTTAATGCTTACAGGAAGATTTTTAACATGAAAAATATCGCAATAGCTTAAGACCTGGTGCTTAAGGTAGATGGCAGAGTATCTAAACATATGTACATATATATAGAAGTGACCAAAATAAAAGTAGTTTTTTAAAAATAGTTTATGTTTTATAAAAGACATCAATGTGTTCTAAAAGCCTACAACAGTATAAATAGTACAGTAGTAGAAACATTACTATTTGTTTAAGTTTATTTAGTTACCATAAGAGAGAGAAAGAAAGCATGCACGCGCACGAGCAGGGGAGGGACTGAGCAGGAGGAAGAGAATCCCAAGCTCTGCACAGTCAGCACAGAACCCGATGCAGGGCTCAAACTCATGAATCGTGAAATCATGACCTGAGCTGAAATCAAGAGTCCTATACTTAGGGGCACCTGGGTGGCTTAGTCGGTTAAGCGTCCAACTTTCACTTAGGTCATGATCTCGCGGTTCGTGGGTTCGAGCCCCACGTCGGGCTCTGTGCTGACTGCCAGCTCAGAGCCTGGAGCCTGTTTCAGTCTGTGACTCCCTCTCTCTCTGACCCTCCCCTGCTCACGCTGTCTCTCTCTCTTAGAAATAAATAAAACATTAAAAAAAAAAAAAGAGTCCTATACTTAAAGAAATGAGCCACCCAGGAGGACCCAGTCTTTAAAAAAAAAAAAAAAAATTTTTTTTAAATAATCGCTACACCCAACGTGGGGCTCTAACTCACAACCCAAGGATCAAGAGTCGCACACTCCACTGACTAAGCCAGGCAGCACCCCAAATCACTGTCTTCTTAATAATTTTTTTTGGGGGGGGATAAGTATAAGTTTAATGATCCATTGTTCTTCACACAGATAGCCGCAGAGACTTTATAATCCCGGGATATACAACCATGCAACACAGACCAATTAGCCAATTCTCCAAGAAACCTGGCTTCATACAACTATCCTGTAAACACTGCAGCTCTTCTTCCACCCAAAATAACCCTAATCTCCCAGGAAAAGCTATTAGAGGGGAACCAGGCACCTGGCTCTGCTGCCAAAAGTAAAAACCAAAAGGAAAATAGTAGTTCGGTGGTTAGTTGATGACAGCAAGAAACCTGGTGCCCTTCACTGCGCTGCTTTGCTCTTCTTACTCTTGCTCTTTTTGTCCCTCTTCTTCAGCCCATCCACGTTAGCTCTCGATAGGTTTGAGTCAGCCGTGTGAAACGTGTTCACTTCTTTGGAGCTCACCACAGTGCTGGTCTTCTTTTTCCCATCAATAGCTCTTAACAGACACTTGTTGTCAGAGGGCTCAAAGCCCTCCACAAAACCCTTCCTCGGAATGGGTTTCGTTCGACCATCGTACTTCTTCAAGGTGATGAACATGCTGCCCGACAACCGGCACTTCTGGAAGAGTCTGGTCAGCTCTGTCAGGAACTGTTTGCAATCCAGAAGCACCATTCCGGCGCCGCTAGCCCCCCGCGTCAGCATATTCTTAATGATAATTTTGCTTACAAATTTACACACATTTGGGCCTCAGTGGTCAAAAATAGCCACAGTATTACTCTAGGAGCCTAAAAATACCTTTAGTATGTTTCTTTCACTCCATGCAAACTCAGAAGTCAGTAACTTCTTTAACATTTTTGTAAAATTTCTGGAAATACAAGACCATCAAGATTTAACTAAAAACCTGGGGGAGCCTGATGGGCTCACTTAGAAGCGTATGGAACTCCTGATCTCAGGGTCATGAGTTTGAGCCTAACATGGGTGTGAGATTACTAATAAAAAATAAACTAAACAAAAAACAACTTGATTTTTTCCAGAGAGTAACACAAAGCAATCTATTTGAATAATAAAGAGAACATAAAATGTATTTACACTAAATTTCATCCTAATAAAAAAAATATGAAAAATATAAATGATTGATTTATGTAATCAATTTTGGCAACCAATGTTGCCAGTTTAAGAAATTATCAATTTACCTTTAAATTTTTTTCAATTACAAAACTAGAGCTGAATTTTACCTTATTTTTGGCCAGTTTATGAAAACGTAAAATACAATAATAAAAGACATTAACAACATATTTTAAATAAAAAACATCTGGTTTCGGTCAGAAACAGATACAAAAAATAATCAATTTTAGAATAGATGCTGAAAAAAAAAAGGGAGAAGCAGTACCTATTGACACTATTTTTACAGTTTAGGATCATGGCTAACGCTTTCCAAGCCTTCATCATTAACTATCTTACCTTCCTCTGGTACTTCTATCACTGTCAACACAAACTTCTAAAAACCGTTAAGCTTGACAGGATTGAGCCAGACTTCTTTATCCTTTCAGAGCTGATTTTTCTGTTTTTTGTTTTGTTTTATTTTTGGTAGGAATATGCTAAATTGACCAATTTCTTCCATGTACTGTAAGTTGGAAGAATCAAAAGTAAAGCTCTGTCACTATGTAAAACTTTAACTGCATTTAAAGATAAAAAGGCTTGGGGCGCCTGGGTGGCTCAACTGATTAAGCGTCTGACTTCGGCTCAGGTCATGATCTCACAGTTCGTGGGTTCGAGCCCCGCATCAGGCTCTGTGCTGACATCTAGCTCAGAGCCTGGAGCCTGTTTCAGATTCTGTATCTGCCTCTCTCTCTGACCCTCCCCTGCTCATGTTGTCTCTCTCTCTCTCTCAGAAATAAATAAAACATTAAAAAAAAAAAAAGATAAAAAGGCTTATTAGAAGGAGTGCATGGGTGGCTCAGTCTGCTGAGCTTCTGACTTCAGCCCAGGTCATGATCTCACAGCTCGTTGAGTTTGAGCCCCATGTTGGGCTCTGTGCTGACCCCTCAGAGCCTGAAGCCTGCTTTGGATTCTGTGTCTCCCTCTCTGTCTGCCTCACCCCTGTTTGCATGCACGCTCTCTCTCTCTCTCTCTCTCTCTCAAAAATAAACATGAAAAAAAATTTTAAGGCTTATCAGAAACCAGTCTGCATCTTATAGACATCAACAGAGGTCCTATCTTCTGCAACATCTGAAGGAACTAATCACAAATTCCCCATGCCAAAGCACCCCCTCCCCAACAATCTCATACCTCCACAAGCACACACAAACAGATCTATACCCAAACCACACCCAGACACATCCTAAGAATAAAACATCTGGAAAAAGAGGAGTGCCTCGGTGGCTCAGTTGGTTGGGTGTCCAACTTCAGCTCACATCATGATCTCACAGTTCATGAGTTTGAGACCCACAATGGGCTCTGTGCTGACAGCTCAGAGCCTGGAGCCTTCTTCAGATTCTATGTCTCCCTCGTTCTGCCTCTCCCCTGCTCACACTCTCTTTCTCCTTCAAAAAAAAATAAGCATTAAGAAAAAAATTTTTACCAACTTGACAATAAACTATTTGTAAGAAAAAATTTTTTTGAATCTTGAAAAAGAATAAATTTCAGATATGAGAAATATCCTGAGCACAACATATTTTGCTTTTAGAGAGAAAGCAACCACATTATTTTAGTATCAATAAAGCAAGATTATCTGCTGTCACGATAAGGGTTATGGACTAGAAGTTTAACCATGAGAAAAAATAGATTTTCATTGGGTTCATAAAGATCTCTCCAATGTGAAAGAATTACCAACCAAATATAACCTAGTTGAAAGAGATGTATATAATTAACAGAAAAATTACACTGATTTTAAAATTCTATATACTCTTTTCCATTCACCTCAATTCTGTAATTGGGCCAGGGCAGAAGCAAAAAACAGACATCAAAGGAGTGAGAGATATAGCAAGAAGTCCATGTTCTCGTATCACTTCTGACCTATGTTGAAAAAAAGCATTTCCTTGAGTCTCTGTTCTACTGAAACAGAATACTCAGAAAACACCTGATACACTTCTCTGTGAGTTAAAGCCTAATAAAGACAAACTACCTTTACAATATATACAAGGCAGAAATGAAAAATACTATGAAAGAGGTAAAAATGTGCTATGAGTTAAGAAAAAGTGCATACACTGTGAGGACTGAAGATAATTTTGGTGGATTCATGATGTCAGGTATAAAGTGAAAGGGTTCAATAACCTGCTAGATAAGTTTGGTGGGTTTTTTTTTTTTGTTTTTTTTGTTTGTTTTTAATCCCAGGAACAATAAGAAGACAAGAAGGGGAGCTATCAAAACTACCAAGATTTCAAAATGGAAGTTCAATATAAAAAGTGACTAAAAAGAATTGTTAAGTATTTCTAGCAAGTAAAGGGTACAGAATCTAAATGTTTGCAGTAATGTCCACTTCAACTAAAGGACCGGGGAAACAGACCCAGCACCCAGAATCATAAATAACATGACTCTCAGGGATTTTAATGGAGTGACAAAAAGTTCAGCATAGGCCTTACAATGGGAGATGCAAGGGCCAGTAATAACAATGGCCCTAAGGAAGAGCCAGAAGACTAAAGACAAGATTAACTTTTCAAGAGCTACTCAGATTTTGATACAGGACCCCTAAGATTATTTAAAGTAACAACAAAATAACTTGAGATTGGAATTATTCAAGTTCAGCTCCAAAGATTCATGAAATAAAATCGGTTAAGTTTTTCTAGGCACACAACTGGCATGGAAGAATCATTTAGCTTATAACTGAGCCTAGAAGACCATACAGCAGCCACAGAATGTATTTTGTTCACAAAAGTATCCTCTCCACAAAAGAACTCTCCTGGCAAAAACTTTGTAATAACCACCTAACAAAGAAATTCACTAAAATTAATAAAGCAGTCAACATTTGTTCTGAAATGTACAGGAAATGGATGTGCTTTGATAGAACTGTAATTATACACACAGCCAGGAACACATAAAAACATTTTCAGTCTCAAATTTGGTTTTTAAAGTTCTCTCCAGAGGTACCAACTCTGAAATGTCTATTATTGGGGCACCAGAATGCTCAGTTGGTTGAGCATCCAACTTTAGCTCAGGTCATGATCTTGTGGTTCACAGGTTTGAGTCTTGAGTCGGGCACTCCGCTGTCAACATGGAGCCCACTTCAGATCCTCTGTCTCCCTCTTTCTGTCCCTTCCCCACTTGTGAGCATGAGCGCACACTCTCTCTCTCTCAAAAATAATTTTAAAAAGGTCTAATTAAAAAATGAAATGTCTAGGGGCGCCTGGGTGGCTTAGTCGGTTAAGTGTCCGACTTTCGCTTAGGTCATGATCTCACAGTTCATGGGTTAGAGCCCCGCATCGGGCTCTGTGCTGACTGCCAGCTCAGAGCCTGGAGCCTGTTTCAGAGTCTGTGACTCCCTCTCTCTCTGACCCTCCCCTGCTCACGCTGTCTTTCTCTCTCTCTCCTAGAAATAAATAAAATATTTAAAAAAAAAAAAAAAGAAATGTCTACTATCTTCTGAACTCTAAATCTGGTCCAAGGAGATGGATTACACCTTATCCTATTTACATCATTTACACACCTAAGTTCACCCCCTGTAGTAAAGATTACTACATTAGAATTACCCAAGAGTGGAGAAAAATTCCAATACCCAGGATGTATGCCAGATCAATTAAATCAATCTCTGGAGATAGCTTTTTTCCACTTTCAGAGCTCCCCAGGTGATTTCAATATAATGCCAAAGTGGGAAACCACAAACTTGAATTGTATGGGTAAGTCAAGGAAAAAACTAAAAGGTATCAATCGACAGCAGAAAAAGGGAAAAAAGCAAACAAGAAACCTAGATGTAGCAAGGACATTACCTTTTACCAGTTTTAACCTGGTTTCAATATATTTTAAATCAAAGGCAGAGTGAAATTTAAATCAAACAGCCAATTCTCAGTATTCTGTAGTTATGTTAGACTATAAAGTCACAGCAAATACTAAATTAGCAAGTAACTGAGCCAACTGTTCCTAAGGTAACCAGAGTTAGGTTCCTGCATCCTCCGGTCACAGTTAACCAATCAATAACAACCTGTTTTGTGTGTTTAACGAACCCTTAATATATGTTGTTGATTCACTAACATCAAACCTAAGGCCAAGAGCCTATGCCTGAACAAAGGTTATCCAACACACACCTTTTCTACATAAGGTACATTACAGTTTTCTTGCAATTAGGAAAACCAGACGGCACTTCAATACTATGCTTTAGCACCATTTTAAACAGTGAAATCTCAAAAAGCACAGAAGTGCAAAAAACAAAAAAACCACAAGGCACCAAATAGACCATAAAAAGGACACTGCTTGGACACAGCAATGCAGCTGAAACAAGGCAGTTTGTTTATTTGACTGCAGGTGGGAACGTGCACATCTAGGTACTCCAATTTTTCATAGCTCTGCACATAAGTACAAATCACCACAAAAGCACCATGAGGATTGATTTTAGGCTTACAAATAAATTTTACCAAGCAGGCAAGTTCACAAATACAGAATCTATGAATACCGAGAATAGTCTGTATAAGTGTCAAGGTAGCTCAAACTGTTACAAATTAATTCTATTCCAGTTTCCACAAAGCAATATGCTCATCTATGTA